AGCTTAGGTTTGGTGAGGGCCCCAGTTCACACAACATTAATTGTGGAAGAGGCTCAAAATTCCTGAGGGAATTGGGCCCTGGCCTTGACCTTCTTTCCCCTCCCTCTGCCAATTTATAGGATAGCATAGCTCTTTTCCCGTTGATAGGATAGTATAGCTCTTAGAAGAGCGCTCAAATCTGTATCTCTCTGAGATGTACTCTCTGAGTTTCAAATTCTGCATCTTTCTCAAATAGCATACGTGTGTCTACATCTAGGGACCAGTGAAGAGAAAGGAAAGCAGAAGGTTTTTATAGAATGGTTCTGAAGGACACAGTGGTCTTTTGAGGTCAGAAGTACAAAAAAGTTGCCAAGTCTTTGATAGCGTTGTAGACATTCAGACTGGACCCTGGTAGCTAAAGGAAAGAAAGAAGAGGGGTTTTTAAACCTGTAAGGTAACAAGGGATCTTGCCAGAAATCAGCTACTGTGTGAAGATGTGGTGGTGTATTTCTCTCACTAGCTCCAACCATCCAACACTGAAGAAATAGATTCTGCAAAATTTATAGTTAAAATGTGGCAGGAGTGGCTTAAATGATAAATGGCAAATTCCCTTGGATTATGTGCCAGGATAAGTATAATTCTGAACAAAGTTTGACTATCCCTTACTCCACATTGTGACAGATAGAGTCATGTATCTCATAGTAATGGAATCACTGCAAGGTATTAACAAGACAGGTGGATGGTGGTAGGGCAGATATGTTCTTTAGTCAATTCAACAAACACTTGTTTCAAAGCGGATTTATTAAGTCCTTATGTGAAAGGACCAAGGGGAGTACTAGATAATTTGGTCTGCTGCTTAGAATCCCTACTTTCCTTCAAGGCTGAGCTTGAACACTACTAGTCCATTTCCCTCCACCCACCCCACCCAATTAACTTGTATTTGCTTTGTATATATTTGCTTTATATATTTATATATATATATTTGTATATATTTGCTTTGTATATATTTCTATATATGTCTCCCAATAGAACATAAGGCAGGGGTGGGCTCATTTTTGTCTTCTGGCCCCAGTATCAAGCACACGGTAGATGCTTAGCGATTATATATTTAGAATTGAAAGAGACCGTAGAAACATCTAGTCCAACCAGTTCATTTTTACAAATGAGGAAGATGAAGTTCAAAGATGTTAAATTCATTGCCTGGTCATCAATCAATCAACATTAATCAATAAACATTTATTAAGTGCTTATAATAGTGAGCGGCAAAGATGGAATTGGCAAAGGGAGTCACAGCAAATTGTTGCATGTTTTGTGTGGGCGTTTATGCCTTAGAAATGGCCATTGCTACCAGCTGGGGCTTATTTTATTGTTTTGTTGATTGTCAAGACCTAAGAAAGTGTTAATGATACAGATTAAACTTAAAAATGTATGCACGCAATCCTCCTCCCCACCCCAGAATTCAGTTGATATACATACTACTGGATCATTTTCCTGGATTTGAACCCCACATCTTCCTGACTCCAAATCCAGCGCTCTATCTACCATATCATGTCGCTCCTCTTAATAAGATGCTTGTTGATGAACTGAAATATATACATATCCTCCATTCACCTTTGGTCGACAAGAACAGTTCTATTAGTCTGTTAAACCACCATATGAAGGGTGAGAGGGATCTCAGTTCCTCAGGTGGCAGAACCAGGAGAGACAACCGATGAGAATTGTACTTCATTTCTTCCTGTTTTATTTTTCACTTGATATTCTCCCACTTAGATGATTATGACAAGGATTTGCTCTTGCTACCAGACACCTTGGTATTTCATCTCTTGTAGGCTACTCCTGTATCTAAAATTCCTCTTCTTCTGCCTTGAATCTGTATCAGTGACACCCATACTCCACCCTCTAGTATAATCTATCCTATGCCCAATTATTTTTATTATTATCATTATGCCTCATCGGATATATATATAATTGATTCCAGAATGCAGTCAGAACACTCTACTCATGTCATATCTCTAATAGGAGGAAAGGGGCAGGGAAGCAAGGTGGTGGTGGAGTTTGTCAGCTTATGTCTTCTTGTCTCAGAGTTAAAACTTAACTCAAAATCAACTGTCATAGTGAGTTGCTGTCAACTTCCAAGGGACAGGAGACATGGTGATATGATAGAGAGGTATTAACAAGATCATCATAGAGTGGATAAATTCTTCAGTCAATTCAACACACATTTGTTTCAACTAGTAATTATTAAGTGCCTATTCTTTATGTGCAAGGACCAAGGGAAGTACTAATTTTGTTGAGCCATGTCATGCTTTTCTCTGACTTAAAGTTGGAAGACTTGTCTTATGCAAGATGCCTTAGGAGCTAATGAACAATTCTGAGAATATCTGAAAAAAAAATGCTAAGAAGGTGAGGTCATGAATACCCAGACTGTCTCTCAAAATTCATAGGCTTAACAAGGGTAGCACAGACCAAGGCATTGCGGAATTAATCAACGGATGTTTGATCACCTTTTTCCGTTAACTGATTTAACTGGACAGTACATACCAAGGCAAGTGGTTCAGGTCAAAGAGAATAGAGTGAGTGACCAGAAAGAACAAAAGATGATCAGACCTTCTTTTTCTCTCCAGATGAAGGTGTGTTACAAGGGCTCTGTTTCCAATTTGGGAAAACATTTTTGTAGAAAAGATAACTTTTGTCCAAAGGACACAGTGTCCAGAAAAGTACATTATCACACAAGCAATGATGCTGAACTGAACAAAATCAAATCACGATCTTAAACAAGAATTGGCTTGAACATACCACACATTTCTGATGCTTTACATGGACACTTATCATGGTTGATTACTCACTTAAAGCAGACATAAAAAGAGCAGCCTCTATTTAGTGACAAGAGATAAAAGGTATCTCCATGCACTCAAGTCACATGTTTTTCTTGGCTAACCAGGAATTTCATGTCATCAAACTGCCTCTCCTAGATAATTACCTTACTGAAATAATGTTTTACAGGATCTAGATTTTGTGGGGTACATAAGTTCCCTACATCCCCTGCATTTGGATCAGCATTAGACTCTCCCCAGTAGAATCTTTTAATGAATTACTTTTTAAATAATTTTTTAAAATATGGAACAAAGAGCCAAAGGTAGCATCAAATGTCAGTTTTTAATGATGATCTTTTTTTAAGCAGTGAAGAATTTTTGACACCTTAATTGTAGGATCATTTTCTTTTGGGAGGGGGACAGGAAGGGGAAGAAAATAATCAGAATAAAATGAAAAATGAAACATTTTCCTTTCCCACTTACAGGACCCTGACTAATAGAGTGGTTTGGTTTCCTGAAAGGCAGCCTTGGGTTTTCTTCTTTAAGAGGGCTCTTACACAATCCAAACATGTGAAGAGGTTTCCTCTGCCACATGAGAGAGATGTAGTACATAACAAATAGAACACACCGCCTTGGATTTGGAACTTGGGGGCAGAAAGTAACTACTTTAAATAAACTGAGCCACTGTGGAGTAGCTTTTTCCCTTTCACAGGTGTGTAATCTGCATCCCTGGTACTTAGATATTAGGAAGACAGCCTGGACTTAGGACTAATATTTTAGCATCTCTTAAAGGGGGCATGATTTCAACAGATGGACAACTCTGTGAGAAACAGGTGCCATCCAGACAAGTTCAATTTGGTCCTAAAAGCTACATAAGCAATAAGGAAAGGGGGATGAGCAGAGAGAAGCAGATGAAACCTCCAAGGATGATTATAGAGACTGAATCTGTGATTGCACTGCTATAGTGAACTGCTGGTGAGGGACTCCCTCAGCCAATGTGGATAAATTCTTCAATTTCAAGTCTTGGAGAATTACCTGGGTATTAAGAGGTTACATAACTTTTTTCAGGATCACAAATCCAGTATATATATCTGAGGTGGAACTTGAACCCAGGTCTTCCAAATCTTTATTTCTCTTTCTCCCCCAATCCCAACTTTCCTGTATATAGAGGCAGCATAGTACAATGTAGAGAGTCAGCCCTTGAAACCAGCATGACCTGGGTTCTCACCCCACCTCTGACACATTGTGACCCTAGACAAGTCAGTTAGCCTCCATACTAACTCTCTAAGATTATAGGTTGTATAGAAAGGGCTGATCTGTTTTGGTAGAGGGAGTCTATCAATTGAAATCATAGATTCAGTCCTTATTCCTTTTTATCTAGTACCATTATGATATTTCCCTACACATATTTTTTCTCTTAGTAGAGATAATTTAAAAACACTCTACGGGGAAGTTTGTGTTTATATTAATGTGTGTATATTAATTGATAGACCTCTTGACAAGCTATCTTTATTTAAACAAAATCTCACCTTTTATTAGTTTTAAAGTAGCACATTTTGCCCCAGCCTGCTCATTGATGTTCATCCTTTCCTATCTACCAGCCACCTGATTGCTGTCCTTCTGCAAAGGGCAAGCAGTTCACATCATTTTTTCCAAGCACAGAAACCTGGAAAGATTTTTTTCTTTTTCTTTCTTTTTCTTTTAAAGAACTTACAGAAGCAATCTTGGGGGTTTGGAAAACATCACAAAAAGCGTTAACTGGATCTTTGAGTGTGCTATTTTAGGAAGGCAATTGTGTTCTTTTAAAATAACATATTTGACAACATGACAAGGCTTTTACTCCAGCCCCCCTATTGATATGTAAAATATTTGTAATGCAAAGTAAGCAAAACACCCTCAACGGACTAATTTTTACTTCCCCAACAATCTGTAAGGGGTTGAGGAGGGGGAGAATGAAAGAAAAGAAAATGTTTTTTCAATATCTATGCGGCTGTTTCTCCACAAGATGATTTTTTTAAACTTCACTGTTCAAACAGGAGTTTGTTTTTAAACCAGATGCTGGTTAAGAACAGCTGATCAGGCAGGCATCGCACAAACCCCGCAACAACACCTCGAGCAAAACAGTAAGCGTCGTGCCACAAAGGCTACTTACTCCTTGGGGGCTGCAGTGTCCTGGTGAGTCAGATGCCTGAAGAGGTATTGTCTTACCTGGAGTCTTTAAGATCCAAGGAGAGAAGAACAGTGGCTCCCAACAGGAGAGGACTGTGAAAATGCTCTCTGATCAGCTGCTGGTAACAAGCACTTGGCTTTTATGGGCAGGTGGGAGGAGCTGCTTCTCATAGTAGGTGGGCAGAGAGAAGGCAGGCAGGCAGGCGGGCAGCTCTCAAAAGGAACTGGCCACTCTATTCTCTGGGGAGGGAGAAGGAGCCCGAGGTGGAGAGGGAAAAAAGGGGAGGAGGGAGAAGCAGGAAAAGCGGGGCGGGGGTGGGGGTGGTGGAGGGAGAGGAGAGAAGCAAGGAAGGGGATAGGGTTAGGGAGAGGAAAAGAGAGAGATGTAAAGGCAGAGAAATAGAGAAGCAACTATGTCTGAAGGGATGGAGAGAGGGAAAAAGAGCCAGACAGACTAACAAAATCAGTAGCCAAGCAGGGCTGGGGGGTGGGGAGGGAGGGAGATAGATTGGAGTTATTTAATTTTAGCATTAAATTCTTCGTATGTGTGAGTAAAAGAAAACGGCTACTGGAATCATTACTATTATGGAGTTGGGGGGCGGAGAGGGGTGAGAGGAAAGCCACTGCCTTTTAATTTTAAAACCTACCATAAACAACTGTGAAAGGAAATAAAGAGAATGAAGGACCAGGAGGAAATTTAAAAGGAAGGGAGTTATAATTTAGAGCAGCAAATACATTCGATTTCAGTTCAGCCCAGGAGTACAGGGAATAGATCGCTGGCTCCTATAGTTACCTTGTACATACCGGAGACCACACCCCCTCCCCGCATCCCCCACCCCAAACCACAAGAACTACCCACCTCTCACTGAGGTTGCCAAATCCAGATCACTCTTTATAAAGTTTATTTGACAAGAGAAATATCTTAATCTAGGTCCTATGGCGTATGCCCTAGGACTTCCAAATATCCATGGGCTGTGCTTAAGGTATTCTGTAGTATTAGGATAAGCCAGAGAAGTTTGTGGGAGGATCAGGGGAGATTTGTTCTCAGAGAATGGAATCTCTCTAAAGCAGCTACAGCTCTCTAACATCTGCTTACATAACATAGGACTTCAGTGAATCCTGCCTTTTGGTTATTTTCCGCCTTTTAAAAACTTCCATTCCTAACAGCAGGAAAAATTCCTGGTGCCATAACCTTCTGAGTTTTGCCTTGCCATTAAAACATTGGGAGTGTATGCCACCAGCAATGGGCCAAGGGATCCAAAGACATTATTCTGAAATCTTTACAAGGAACTCTGGCCTGAAGAAATACATATATACATATGTACATGCATGCATACATACATACATGTATAGTACTCAGCCTCCTTCTCCCTGCTAACTAGCGACTCATTCCCTAGCCCCTTCTCCCCATCACCAAACAAATAAATGGGTTTAAAAAAGAAAGTGCTTGCTCTAAGTATGTGTATCTGTATGATATTAAGCCCTAAGTCTCTTAGTTATGACAAGTCTTAAGGGCTTTGGGGCAGAGATGGGAGGGAAAGAGGAAGATGATCTTTGCAGGAATATAGTGATAGGGTCATAGATTTAGAACTAGAAAGGACCTCAGAGGGCATTCTATCCAATTTTACGGATGAGGAAACTGAGATATGAAAGGACTCAGAGATAGGATTTGAACTCAGTTCCCTTGCCTCCAGAGCCAGCATTCTTTTTAAATATGTCACACTGTCTCCTTTATATCATGTTTAGAGTATCCTCACTGTAATAGCCTTTCTACTAGTCTTTTTGCTTTCATATTATTTTTTTAATCATTTTTAAAAAAATCATGTTTTTCCTTCAATCCATCCTTTACGTCACTGCCAGAATAATCTTCCTAATAGACCAGTTTGATTATTACATTCTTTTTACATTCTAGAATTACATTCTATTGCCTATAGAACAAAGCCCTCCAAATCTAACTCCAACCTTTCAATCCAGTCTTGTCTGATAATATTCCCTTTCAGAAACTATGTTCCAGTTGAATCCAACTGCTTGCTATCATCTATTTTTATCCTGCTTTCTCTCATCTCTCTGCCTTTGCTCATGCCATCCCCCTGCTTGGAATGGACTGTCTCCCACCTCTCCATCTCTGTCTGCTGATGTCCTGCCCCTCCCTTAAAGCCCACCTCGGGTGCCACCTCCTTTATGAATCCTCCCTTGATTTTCTCAGCAGAAAGTGTCCCACTTCTATCTAAATTTCTTCTAACACTTTGCTTAACATCCCTCAGTGTTACATTCTCACTTGTTATGTGGTAAAACCTATATTGGTTGGGTTTTTGTCTGTATTTTCCTGCCATCTCCAGGTGCCAGAGAAAAGCAGGAAGGGTGGAGTGGACTTCACTGGGTCATTTAACATAAAAAGAAGTTGCCTAAGGTCATTGTAATGTGGCACTATGAGGAGGAGGACATTTAAAAGGAGGGGGAGAGAAACCTTGCCAAGTTTGACTTGCTGACCAGTAGCCAGATGGCAGTGAGATTATTTCCTCCTTTCCTCGTGAGACTCTGAAAGCAGATGCTGGGGCATATTTCCCTAATAAGGTATAATAAGTGTCCCACTTCCCCCCAGAAAAAACAACAACTGTTCAGAAGACCGGGTGGGGGCAGTTTGAGATTTCACACCTTACTAGGAGTGGCAAGGTGCTGACATTGGCAGTTTCATTTTTTCCCCCTGTAGTCAAGAGTCCATTTTAATTCACATATGAATGAATAATCCTTTTAGTTCAGGTAAATTTGGGAAGGAGATTAGAATCTCAGTGGGATGGGTGCCAGCATGAAGCAAATAAATTGTAGATTGTCAGGAATGTTTCCATACCCTTAGATGAGTCTAGAATGAACCCAGGCTAGGGGCACTAAAGGGAAAGCTGGGAAGTGCAGCAACCCAGGCAAGACATGTTTATACAAGTGGACACTGCCTTAGAATTGGGAGGAATCAGGTGTTGTAGGTGTCCTAGTGGAGCAAGGGAGCTAGAGCAGCTTGAGCTCAGAGCACCCTCTGGTGGCTTGCACAGAGATTGCACCCCAAACAGTCATTTTAAGCCCTATTGCTGTTAATGAGACTGGTCCTGCCTGGGTCAAAGTAAAACACGGTGTCACACTTGTAATTTGTCTAAGACATAAGTTCAAATCTGGCCTCAAACACTTACTAGTTGTGTGATCCTGGGAAAGTCACTTAACCTCTGTCTGCCTCAGTTTTCCCAACTGCAAAATGAGGATAATAATAGCATCTTCCTCCCCAGGTTATTATGAGGATCAAATGAGATTATAGTTTTAAAAAAGTGCTTAACACAGTGCCTGGCATGTTGTTATTGCTGTTCAGTCATGTCAGACTCTTTGTGACCCATTTGGGCTTTTCTTGGTAAAGATACTGGAGTGGTTTACAATTTCCTTCTCCTGCTCATTTTATAAATGAGGCAACTGAGGCAAACAGGGTTAAGTGACTTGCCCAGGGTCACACAGCTAGTAAGTATCTGAGGTTAGATTTGAACTCAGGTCTTCCTGACTTCAGGCCAAATTCTCCATCCACTGCTCCATCTAGCTGCCAATATGCTCAGTACATAGCAGATGCTAGATAAAAGCTTATTCTCTTTCTCCTTCAATAGAGTTTTAGGTCTTTGAGAGTAGAATCAGTTTCTCATATATTCTTGTATGGCCAGTGCCTAGGACAGAAACTTGTTTATAGCAAGTGCTGAACAACTGTTTGTTAAATTGAATTGAAGTCCTCAAACCAGGAAAATGAGCCCCAAATGACCATTCAAAGAGGAAATTTGTGGAAAGGTTGTCTCCATAAAAGCAATTTATAAGGATAATACCTGCCTGATCTTTCTGGAGAATTCATAATTCCACAGCTATCCTTTCTATCCACAGACTATACCCAAGGCTGAGCTTTTCAATAATAATAGAAGAGAGGTGAGCTCCATGTGTCTACTCTTTTCCTTCTTTTCCCTCCTCTCTTCATTTTCTTTACTTCTTGCTCCCTCCTCTTTTCTCAGAGAAGAGTGCCTAGTTCCCTTAGAAAGCTGCTACATTTTCCTGTCTATACATGACAGCGAACTAGGCAATTTTGCAATGACTTTTTAAAATGTCTTCATCATAAGCATTTTTTATTCATTGGAATAATTACTTAGTTGACACTCAAGGGACAAGAAACAGGACATCCTTCCTTTTTATTTTGCGTGTGTAATTATTAATTTTCAACCTCAAGGCAATTAAACAACTCTTTGTTCACACAAGAAAGGGAAGGTGTTTATATAGTAGTTATTATATGCTAAATGTTTTATGAATATTATCTCATTTGGTAAATAACCCTGGAAGATAGGGGCTCTATTATAGTCCTCAATTTTAATAGTTGAGGAAACTGAGGCAGAGGTTAAATGATTTGCGTAGGGTTACATAGCTAGTAAGTATCTGAGACTGGATTTGAACTCAGGTCCTCCTAACTTCAAGCCAAGTGTACCATCTCGAAGCCTCTAAGTTCATTATCTAGTTATTATCTGACTAGAGCAATAGATGGCAGCTAGGATGCCACAGTGGATAGAGTTCCATGCCTCAGAGTCAAGAGGATCTGAGTTCAAATCCAGCCTCAGACACTTACTAGCTGTGTGACCCTGGACAAGTCACTTAACCCTGTTTGCCTGAGTTTCCTCATCTTTAAAATGAGCTGGAGAAGGAAATGGCAAACCACTCCAGTATCCTTATCCAGAAAACCCCAACACAATCATGAGGAGTGGATATGACTGAAATGACTCCACAACACAATGGCAGAATGGAAGAATTAAGTGCCAAAGCAATATTCCTAAGGCACAGATATGATTACATCATTCCCCTACTCAACAACCTTCAGTGGCTTTCCATTATTAACAGGATAAAATACAAATGCCTTATTGGGCCATCAAGGCCCAGCATCATTAACTTCCAACTTCTTTTTCCATGATTATTTCATTCTACTCCCTTTTATGCCCTTTTATAACAGCCAAATTGTGCTTCTAGCTTTTCTCCAAATTTCTCTCGAAATTTCTCTTGGTTTTCTTTTCTTCCTTCAAGGCCCACCTAGTTCAGGTGCCACCCTTTCTGTTAACTCTTCCCTGATTTTCCTCTCATCAACCCCACAATTG